CACACTCCCACTCCCACGCCCACCATGAGTTCATTCTGGACTTAAATTAGGAGTATTTCTGTAGAGGAATATGAAATTTAAAAAGCTAGATACTATCAAATGGAAATATTCAGTTGAATTTAAAATCATTAGCAGTGGCACGTGCCTGTCATCCCAGCTACTCAGGAGGCTGAGGCAGGAGAATTCCCTGAACCCAGGAGGTGGAGGTTGCGGTGAGCCGAGATCACGCCACTGCTCTCCAGCCTGGGTAACGAGCAAAACTCGTCTCAAAAAAAAAAAAAAAATCATTAGCAGTAGTGACCAATAGGATTATCAATAAACAACAAAGTAGCAAATCTGGAGTTCTGCCATGCCAGGCATAAGCCTAATGAGACTAGAGAAATTTACTATTTAGAAGGCCTTTAAAGTCCTAATTGCAGCAAAGATTAGTCTCACTGGGACTTATAAAAACAAGGGCCGGGTGCAGTGGCTCACGCCTGTAATCCCACCACTTTGGGAGGCCACAGCAGGTAGATTACCTGAGGTCAGGAGTTCGAGACCAGTCTGGCCAACACGGTGAAACCCCATCTCTACTAAAAATAGAAAAATTAGCTGGGAATGGTGGCGGGTACATGTAATCCCAGCTACTAGGGAGGCTGAGGCAGGAGAATCTCTTGAACCAGGGAGGCGGATAAGAGAAGATCAAGCCACTACACTCCAGCCTGGGTGACAAAGCAAGACTATCTAAAAAAAAAAAAAAAAAAAAAAAAAATTCAAAATGGCTATTTTTAAATGTTACCCTTAAGTAATACATTAAAATTACTAAATTCTATACAAACTATATCCCCTGAACTCACTGAATCGTTAGTTCAACATACACTTGAGCTCTACTATGTGCCAGGCACCCTGTTATGCACTTAGGAGTTCAGTGTGATTAAGCACACACAGGCACTACTCTAAGCCAGAGTTTACAATCCAGTGGGAATAGATTTTTCTGGCACTTGCCATTTAGTGAATCATTCAAGAAACATATATTCAAGAAACAAATACCTCTGCTAAGAGCTCATAATGCACAAGTTTCTATTAAAAACATACTTTCTGGCTGGGCATGATGGCTGGGGCCTGTAATCCCAGCACTTTAAAAAGGTCGAAGCAGAAGGATCACTTCAGCCCTGGAGTTTGAGACCAGTCTGGGCAACATAGCAAGACCTCATCTCTACCAAAAAACAAAACAACACAGTTTCCAAAGGAAGGCAATAATGACAGACAATAGTTTTAGATAAGTACAAATGATTTGACTTATTCTACAGACATAAATCAGTCCTACCTCTTCGTCCTGAAGTGTGAATAAACTATTACAATACCAACTAAACTGGGTTATAAGTGGGTTTTTAAGAAATTGTGACATATGAAAGATTTCTTTGTTATAGACTGTATATCGTGACTACAAATTCATCAGCAGTTACATTAAGCATTGTAGAGATGAGGAGAAATAATTCTTGCCCAGTACAATAGTATCATAGATATAGCAGCTGGCAAATATATTGAGCAAGAATAAACAACACAATTCCCTGAAGGGTAATTTATTCCAATAATAGAATTAAGTAAACAAACACCTCTTGGGAAACTTTTTTTCTTTTTAAAGGAAAACAGATGAATCAATGTTGTTTATGGGTTTCAGTAATATTTCATATGTAAATTTAGTTTTTAGTCATAAAAAATTCCAAAAACAGTGAATTTTCCTCTGGGTACCACCGCTCTATACACCAAAAGTTGTTAAATAACACTAACATGTTACATAAAGCTTAACTACAAAATATAGTGCACAACAGTTTATCGTCAAAGCCACTTCAAAATACCTGTTATTAAACAGAATGTGCCAATTTCCCTGTATTAGAAAAAGATGCCTATCAATGAATTAGCTAAATTCTTCTACATATTCTACCTATAAGAACTTTGCCACATCCTCATTCCCATGTTTTACCTTCTTTGCCAAATAACTGCAAGGAGATTCAAAAATATATTTATACAGAGCTGTACTACATATACACTAACAAGCAGAGTGCATTAAAACACCAGCTTACCGTTTTTAAATTTTTCTATTTAAACCAACTATCCAGAAGAGTCTGCTTTGAAAGATGGCTCCTGCCCATTAAATCAACAGCAAATAGTCTACAAGAAATGCCCTGAATCTAGCAAGGAAGAAAAAGTAAACCGCCAGTAAAACTTGTAAATGCCCACTTAGACGAGTACTGACAGTGTCAAAATGGCAATTTTTAAGGGTTGTCCTTAAATGAAACATTAAGCAGAATTACAATACTCTATCAGGGAACCATTTTACATTATTTCAAGTTATTTGCATGCCTACTATGTGTCAAACATTCTGTTAGGTACTGAGGCATCCTTGTGAACAAGCATAGAAAAGTACTACTCTCAAGATGTTTATATATAATCCAATGAGATATATTCCGGAAATAGGAAAAAAGCAAATACCCAATAACTGAAACAAAGAAAGGTAAAGATTTTCCTGTAGTTAAAAAAAAAAAAAAAAACACATGCACACACGCACACACAGAAACCTGTATATTTATTTGTCTAATGTAGCAACGTTACAATTTCTAAGGATGCTTTCTATAAATGGACAAATTTTTAATGAACTTGGTTTTTGGTACATCTGTTCTAACAATGACTAAAGAAATGCAAGTGGAAAAATCAAAACAGGATGCATTTGGGTTTATCAAAGGCTACTTCTCCCTTTCTTTTTTAAAAGCATGGGAGCGCACAGGCACATACATGTTTACCTGTTGGTGTGGTATCAATATTCCTGGGGAACCGTTAAGAGCACTCACACGAGCAGATGTTTTAAAGGCTAAACAACAGCACACAGCAAATAATCACATATAGCAAATAAAGTATTTTCATTTGAAATTAGCACAGAGTTCACAAGGACGCAAAAATCAAATTAAGAACCCTCCCCTTTTCTCTAGCTGTTTATAAATCCTTCCTGGCTGCCCCTTCTCTCTCCATTGATCCCTTTAGGTACTAGCAAGTTTTTTTCTTTAGCAGAGACAGTGACGTGGCAGGAGCAGCAGAAAATGACCCTGGAGGCGCCGTGGCTAGCGCTGAGCTTGGCACCTCCTCCCTCCGCTCCACGTTGTACACCCAGCACACCCCACTCCCGAAGGGTTCCAGAATTTCTATGTAAGCAGGGTTTAGGACAGGCGATCTGAATGGAAGCGAAAGCTGGGGGATCGGTCTTGAAGGTGCGTGTGCAGAGCAGGCAGTTTTTATTTAGACTGGGAGGCAGTGACGGCACGGATGGGTGCTCCAGCACTCCCTGTCACCCCTGGGCGCCGCCAGCACCCTCTCCATTCCCACTTTTAGTTTAGGTTAGGCGTGGGAATACAGCCGTCCTACCCAGGAAGAGCTCTGGGGGTGTCCACTGGGGGACGTCTTGTGTGCCTGAACCCAAGAGGGAGGTTTATCAACAGGTCAGGAGTTGGCAGAGCGAGGACGCCCAGCACCCAAGTCCCTCCGCTGCATCCCTCTCCCAGGCTGCTGACGCCCCCCCACCCCCCACCTCCGCCTCCACCCCGAACCCCCAAATGTTAAAATATCAGGCGGAGGCTTTCCAGGGGAGTCCCCAAGCTCCAATAGCAGCGGGGCAGTCAGCAACGTTGAGGAGGAGTAGCCCTAGAAGCGAACCTCCATCCGCCCCCAACTTTGTCCCGCCCCTCCCCCTTTCCCGCTGGGTCCCCGCCGAGGCCCCGCAGGGAGAGAGGCCGGGGAGTGCGAGCTGAGGGGCAGGGGAGCCGACGGCAGAGGGCGAGGGAGGAGGGGAGGAAGCCGGGCTGCGCCCCTACCCTCGCAGCCCTACTCACTTACCGCCGGGGTCGCGGCCCGCGCTGGGGCAAACGCAGGGGCCGGGCGGAGGGAGCGGGCCGGCGCCGAGGAGGGCTGAGACAGCCTGGGCGGCAGCGGCGGCCGGCACAATCCCGGGCAATCGCGGCTCCGTAGGCGTTCTCTCAGGCTATGGAGCTGGAAGACTGTGGCTGTGGTGGTGGCAGCGGCGGCGGCCTCTGGCTGCGGACGTGGCGCCCGACGCGACCCGCCCCCTCCACCGCCTCCTCAGCTCCCGCCTCCTTCCGCGGCTCCGACTCCGAGGCGCACGCGCGCTCGTGCAGCCCGGGCCCCTCCCGCGCCCACCGGGCACACGCCCACTCGTTTCACGCAGGGTCCGATCCTCCCAGCAGCCCCCAGCCGGCCGCGTCCTAACTGCGCACGCGCGACGCTCTAAGGCCCGCTCCCGCCCCTTCGCCCCCTGCGCGCCTCCGTGGGAACCCCCGGCCGGCCTCAGCGCGCCTCCTCCGGGGGTCTCCCCGCCTTCTTCCCGCCACTGTCCAATCAGATCGGGCGAGGGTCACGAAGCCTGGGAGACCCGTAGGCCGCGGACCCCAGGCCCAGAGGTTAGGCGTCGGCGGCAGCCGGGAGTCAAGGTCCGCGCCGAGTAACGGTCTTCGGAATTCGGAACCTTGGCCTTAGGGAAGGTGGGACAGTCGCCAGTTTCTCTAGCACTTTTCGTCCAGGTGCCTCATCTTCTTGGCCTGCTGTCCTCGGGGAGTGACAGCCGGGCCTGCTCAGACGTTCACGTCGGGGCTCTATACTCGCCTTTGTGACTAAGTGCTAGGGAGAGACGTGGCTTATTTATGTGTTTTTCAGTTTGTTTGATTTTTTAAATTATTATTATTTATTTTACTTCTCCCTGGCCTAAAATTGAGCTCCTTGAGAGTAAAAACCCGCCTGGATCGTCATCACCGTCGGCTTGGTGCCCGGCCTGTCAGGAGCTCGGAATGTGTTGAAGAGTGGGTGTTTAGTAGCGAAAGAGCCTTGGACTGGGCATTAGAAAGCCTGGCTTTGCGCCGCGTTCTTGCCACTTGCTGACCGGGCCCCTCCACGTGTTCCCCGCCGTGGCAGCTGCTCTCCTCTCCAGTCCAACGGCGCGGGGAGGCGCGGGGAGGCGCGTGGCGGCCCCGCCTGAGCTGATCCCCCGGGATGTGACCCTCTCTGAGCTTCACAGCGGGTTTCAGGAACCAACTCAGAAGGTCGTTTTGAGGACGGGAGGATTTGAACTGCTCAAAGCCTGCTTAACTACGTAAATGGTATCCATTAACTTTTCCTTGACTCCCTTTCCACACCTATAAAATGAAGATGATGGGAAGCTCATCATACTTTGTGTGTGTGTGTGTGTGTGTGTGTGGTGGGTGGGAAAGGTCTTTATGAACTGTGTATGTGGGATGTTTCCTTTCACAGTCTGATTAACAAGTTAAAATACATAAAACAAGAGCATGTGAAATCAGAAACATACACAGGAAGCAAAAAAACTGACAAAATGGTTTATCAACTACAGAATACTCAGGGTGGTGGAAATGAATGATAACTGTTGACAACATAGCTCCGAAAGGACGTGCTAAAACCGAGGAAAGCATGCTGGATGGAGCTAACTTTGATCCAGGTCTTAAATGGAATGGACTATAGTTTATAGCTTCAACCTAATCATTAACTTATGAAATCAGAGAATTCAGGCCACTTAAGTGGTCACTTAAGAATTAAGGCCACTTGGCCGGGCGCGGGGGCTCAAGCCTGTAATCCCAGCACTTGGGAGGCCGAGGCAGGTGGATCACGCACGAGGTCAAAAGATCGAGACCATCTTGGTCAACTTGGTGAAACCTCGTCTCTACTAAAAATACAAAAAAATTAGCTGGGCATGGTGGCGCGTGCCTGTAGTCCCAGCTACTCAGGAGGCTGAGGCAGGAGAATTGCCTGAATCCAGGAGGTGGAGGTTGCGGTGAGCCGAGATCGCGCCATTGCACACCAGCCTGGGTAACAAAAGCGAAACTCCGTCTCAAAAAAAAAAAAGAATTAAGACCACTTAAGAATTAAGGACAGTGGTCCTCAGACTATCAAGATATTTTAGTTTCTCAAAGCAGAAAGAGGAAATTAAATAATCTTGTCACTTCAACCTATGGGTTGCATGATTAGCAGGATCAGTGGATTGTACTGTTTATCCAGCATGTGAAGAAATGGATAGCCTCTGTTGTTATTACAGAAGCTTCTGTCTTTAATATATCTTTAATATGTGACCTTTCAAGGTTGAACTCTAGGTAAAATTATGAAGTGCACGGTTATGTCTCGTTTCTTCTTCCCTTTGCACGTTGTTTTAAAAAGAGAATTATTAAAGTACAAATGACTGACAGGATTGTAGCCACTCCTGGGAGATTTTACATTTTTACAGTTATTAAAGCCATAACTCAAAGTAGCAGTTGAATCTGTTTCATAAACCAACTAAGATTTAAAAGAGCTCTTTTGGGAGGTCATGAGTTCACCAGAAACTTCTGAAACTGCAAATAGGAGTTCAGCCTATAAAACGAAGATATACATGACTTGTAGTATTTCTTCGTTCTATAGGCTGAACTCCTCTAAATTCTGGTGACCTCCCTTTCTTAGATTATTAAAATAAAATACAGGTGGCTCACTCCTGTAATCCCAGCACCTTGGGAGGCTGAGGCAGGGGAAGATCACTTGAGCCCAGGAGTTTAAGACCAGCCGGGGCAACATGGAGAGATCCCATCTCTAAAAAAAAAAAATAATAGGCTGGGCGTGATGGCTCATGCCTGTAATCCTAGCACTTTGGGAGGTCGAGGTGGGTGGATCACGAGACCAGGAGTTCGAGGCCAGCGTGGCCAACATGCTGAAACCCTATCTCTACTAAAAATACAAAATTAGCCAGGTGTGATGGCGGGTGCCTGTAATCCCAGCTACTCGGGAGGCTGAGGCAGGAGAATCACTTGAACCCCGGAGGCAGAGGTTGCAGTGAGCCAAGTTTGTACCACTGCACTCCAGCCTGGGCAACAGCAAGACTCTGTCTCAAAATAATAATAATAATCATAATCATGGTGGTACACTCCTGTAATCCCAGCTATTTGGGATGCTGAAGCAGGAGGACTGCTAGAGCCTGGGAGGTCAAAGCTGCAGTGAGCCGTGGTCAAACCACTGCATTCCAGCCTGGACAACAGTTAGACCCTGTTTCAAGAAAAACAAAATGAAACATTTATTTCTGGATGTTATTTTGAAAGATTTGTAATGTCTTAATATAATGAGCCCTAGCCAGGTAATCACAGCACCAAGGTAGTAGGATTGCTTAAAGTCAGGAGTTTGAGACCAGCTGGGTCAACATAGTGAGACTCTGTCTCTACAAAAAATAAACAAATATATAATTAGCCAGGTGTGGCGGCACGCACCTGTAGTCCTACCTACTTGGGAAGCTGAGGCAGGAAGATCACTTGAGCCAGGATTTCAAGGCTGCAGTGAGCTACAGCTGTGCCACTGTACTCCAGCCTGAGTGACAAAATGAGACCCTCTCTCTTAACATAATAATAATGAGTTCTTAGGGCCTTCAGGCAGTAACTTAACAAAATTCTTAATACACATATATCAATTACCCAGCATTTTAAATGACTGAGTTTTCTTCTAGTTGGTTATATACACAGCCTTTTTGCCTTATTAAAAATCTTTAGAAATTAGATGTGACATTGTTTAACATGGTAGGGTGGTTCAAAGAGGACCAGAAAGAAGCAAGCCAGAAACCAGTAATGTTAAAGCAAGAAATTATTTCTAGGCTGATAGTACATTGAAGTTTAAAAAGCCCCAGCCCAACCTTCTGCCCAACATGTGAATCTGTCTCCTCTTATGTGCACAATTATAGTTTTCATTGTTATCAAATACTCTTCCCACAGTTTCAGTATGGACTTATTTAAGTAACCTACTTGTTGCAAGGTCCACATATTTTTCTGTTTTACCATGTTTTCATGAGTGTAATGCATTATCCTTGCATTAAATTAACAGCTTTATAAAGGTTAGTTACCACCCAGTGTAAATCATGCTTTCTGTCCTCACTTTCTTACTGCTTTTTGCCATTCCTGGCACAATTACCTGTGCTATTCTTGGTTTTCCTTTCCCTGCACCAATATCCTTTTTTAATTTTTCCTATTATATGATCATACCAGCAGATTTATTTGACACAGTTCCTAAGCTCTATCATCTCATTTCTCTCAACAATCCAATGAGGCAAATACATTATATTTTAATATAGAGAATTGTATATGTATATGAGGAAACTGAGGCATAAAGAAGTTGGGTAATTTACCCTAGGTCCCACAATTAGTAAACAGCAGGCTCTAGAATCAAACCCAATTTTGTCTGACTCTAGAGCCCAAGTTCTTAACCACTATATTCTCAGAGAAAAGCAGTTCCTGACATGCAGTAGATGCTGGCACAACTAGGCTTTGGTATTCTTGTTGAACAAAAGCAATTTTAGAGAACATCAACATCAGACAAGGCCACTCTATGATCCTGGTGGATCAGGACAGAAATAAGTCTACTTCATAATCATGGTTGAACATAGACAAAAACATGAACGTTGTCCAACCCACCAAATGGAATACACAAAATGAAAATCCCAAACTAGTCTATGTAACTGTTGCCTCTTTGCCAATGACAGCTTTAACCTCATTCCAGTCTTCCTTGTTTCTAGATAAGATTTATTAAGATACCCAATCAGAATTACCCCCACTTCCTGACAATATCTTGTTTAGAGCATAGAGCAAAGTTCCACCTCCTTAAACCCTCTGTCAAATCACCGATTTTTCAAACACCTTACCGATCTGTCCCATGGTTCCCCATGATCTCCCTTGCTGCAATGAGTGATAAATTCAACCCTTGCTGCAATGAGTGATACATTCAATTTGTTCAACCACAGGTGTGTTCCTAGTGATCTTTGACTAGAAGGCATTGACAATTCTTTCTTGACTGTTCTGTATCTTGCATATCTATGGAGTAGAAAGCGTACTTGTTAGGTATTTCTGCCAGTGAAAGGAACTGGAAACTGCCCTTTCATCTCCAGCCATGGGTTTGTAACACCAAAGCTAGAAGATTCCCTTTCTTTATGTGGATCATAAATAGAGTGTCTGCTAAATTGAGACTTATTAAAAGATAGCAAAAAGAAACACATAATTTTGGAATAATTGGACATCATTTTTAAAACAAAAACTTAACACATATAAACTCATGCCTTTCACCACATACAAAATAATTCAAAGTGGATCATAGATCTAAATGTGAAAATATAAAACTTCTAGAAGAAAACATAGGAGAACATTTTTGTGATCTTGAATTAGGCAAAGTTTTCTTAGATACAACACAAAACACACAACCTATAAAAGAAATTTATAAAAACTTGCTCTTTGGATAACACTTGCTCTTTGGGTGACACTTAACAAAAGAACAAGCAACAGACTGGGAGAAAATATTTGTAAAACATATCTATTAAATGATTGTATCCTGAATATATGACACACTCTTATAACTTAGAAGACAATCCAGTTTTAAAATGTGTGAATAATTGAACAATCACTTCACGAAGGAAGATACATGGATGGCAAATAAGCATATGAAAAGATGCTCAACCCCTCTTACCCCCAGGCAACTACTCATCGATTTTTTTCTCCTTATGATTTTTGCCTTTCCCAGAATGTCATATAAATGGAATACACTATGAAGCATTTTTATTCTTGCATCTTTCACTTAGAATAATGCATTTGAGATTTATTTATGTTGTGTGTAGGAGTAGTTTGTTCCTTTTATTGCTATAGTCCATTTACTATAGTAGTCATTAGGGAAATGCAAATCAAAGCCACAATCATCACTACTTGGTTGAAATAAAAATAATTTCAAAGACTATTGAAGATGGATAAAAACTAAAACTCTCAGACATTGTTGGTAGGAATGCAGAGGGGCACAAATACTTGGGACATGGTTTGGGAGTTTCTTAGAAAGTTATGCATATACTTATGACCTAGAAATCCTTCTCCTAGATATTCACCCAAGAGAAATGAAAACATGTTCACATGAAAACCTGAAATTATTTTATAATCATCTAAAACTAGAAACACCCTAAGTGCCCTTTAATTTGTGAATGGATAAACAAATGGTGGTACATACATGCAATAGAATCTACTCTTACACACGACATAAGTAAATCTCAAGTGCATTATTCCAAGCGAGAGATGCAAAACTAAAAACTCTTCATACTATATTCCATATATATGACAGTCTGGAAAAGGCAAACCATAAAAAGAGAAAAGAGATCAGTGGTTGCCTGGGAGGTAGGAGGATTTGACTATAAAGTGGTGCTTAAGAGAATTGCAGAGGGGCTAATGGAACTGTTGGCTGTCATGACTGTGATGTGTGTGGGTTACAGAATGTATGCATCTGCTGAAACTCATAGATTTGTACACTGAAAAGAACATTTTTGCTGTGTGTAAATTATACGTCAGTAATTTTTACTGGAAAAAGAAAGATGTTGAATTGGAAAAGAAGAGTTGTGATAAGGTAGAGTTACCTGGCACCATGAAAATAAAGACTGGCCTAAAGGTGAGAAGCCTCTTATACCCCAATGGGGAGCATTTCACATTGGTTTCAGTAATACAACCCAAATTTAAAGATGCAATTTGTTCTTATATTTTTGCCTAGTTGCTTACTATACTTAACCACTGTTAGCTAGTTTCTACTCTCAAGTGCCCTTATGTCTTCAGTAACCAGTAGAGCAACTTGAGTTTGAGTCTGGTTTCTACCCTTGATATGGTTTGGCTGTGTCCCCATCAAAATCTCATCTTGGATTGTAGTTTCCATAATCCCTATGTGTTGTGGGAGAAGCCCAGTGGAAGGTAACTGAATCATGGGGGTTGTTACCCCCATACTGTTCTCATGATAGTGAGTTCTTATGAGCTCTGATGGTTTTATAAGGGTTGTTTCCCCCTTTGCTCAGCACGTCTCCTTTCTGCTGCCATGTGAAGAAGGACATGTTCACTTCCCCGTCCACCATTATTATAAGTTTCCTGAGACCTCCCCACTATGCTGAACCATGAGTCCATTTAAACCTCTTTTCTTTATAAATTACCAGTCTCAGATATTTCTTCACAGCAGCGTGAGAATGGACCAATATAGCAAATTGGTACTACAGAGAGTGGGGCGCTGCTGTAAAGATACCCAAAAATGTGGACTTTGAAACTGGTTAACAGACAAAGATTGGAATCATTTGGAGCATTAATAACACAGGAAAATGTGGGAAAATTTGGAACTTAGAGGTTTGTTGAATGGCTTTGATCAAAATGCTGATAGTGACATGGACAATGAAGTCTGGGCTGAGGTGGTCTCAAATGAAGATGAGGAACTCGTTGGGAACTGAAGCAAATGTGACTCTTGTGATGCTTTAGTAAAGAGACTAGTGACTTTTTGCCACTGCCCTTGAGATCTGTGGAACTTTGAACTTGAGAGAGATGATTTAGAGTATCTGGCAGAAGAAATTTCTAACCGGCAAAGTATTCAAGAGAAAGCAGAGCATAAAAGTTTAGAAAATTTGCAGCCTGCTGATGTGATGGGAAAGAAAAACCCATTTTCTGAGGAGAAATTGAAGCTGGCTGCAGAAATTTGCATAAGTAATGAGGAGATGAATGTTAATCACCAAGACAATTGGGAAAATGTCTCCAGGCCATGTCAGAGACCTTCACAGCAGTCTCTCCCATCAAAGGCCTGGAGGCCTAGGAGGAAAAATTGTTTCATGGGCCAGGTCCAGGGTCCCCCTACTGTGTGCAACCTCAGGACTGTGTTCCAGACACTCCCGCCATGGATAAAAGGGCCCAAGGTATAGCTTAGGACATTGCTTCAGAGGGTGCAAGCCCCCAGCCTTGGCAGCTTACATTTTGTGTTTATCCTGCAGGTGCACAGAAGACAAGAATTAAGGTTTGAGAACCTCCACCTAGGTTTCAGAGGATGTTTGGAATTGCCTGGATGTCTAGGCAGAAGTCTGCTGCAGAGGCAGAGCCCTCATGCAGAACCTCTGCTAGGGCAGTGCTAAAGGAAATAATGGGGTCAGAGCCCCTATACAGCGTCCCCACTGGGACACTGCCTAATGAAGCTGTGAGAAGAGGGCTACTGTCCTCCAGACCCCAGAATGATATCCACTGACAGCTTGCACCATGCACCTGGAAAAGCCACAGACATTCACTGCCAGCTGTGAAAGCAGCTGGGGTGGGGAGCTGTACTCTACAAAGACACAGGGACAGAACTGCCCAACATTATAGGAGCCCACCCTTTGCATCAACATGAACTGGGTGTGAAATATAGAGTCAAAGGAGATCATTTTGGAACTTTAAGGTTTAATGACTGCTCTATTAGATTTCGGACTTGTGGGGGGCCTGTAGCCCCTTTGTTTTAGCCAATTTCTTCCATTTGGAATGGGTTTATTTACCCAATACCTGTACCCCCATTGTATCTAGGAAGTAACTAACTTGCTTTTGATTTTACAGGCTTATAAGCAGAAGGGACTTGCCTTGTCACAGATGAAACTTTACATGGAGTTTTCAGTTAATGCTGGAATGGGCTAAGACTTTGGGAGACAGTTGGAAAGGCATAATTGTGTTTTGAAATGTGAAAACATGAGATTTGAGAGGGGCCAGGGTGGAATGATATGGTTTCACTGTGACCCCACCAAATCTCATCTTGAATTGTAGTTTCATAATCCCCACATGTGGTGAGATGTAATTAAATCATGAGGGACATCACTCCCCATACTGTTCTTGTGACAATGAGTAATTTCTCTCAAGATCTGATGGTTTTTATAAGGGGCTTTTCTCCCTTTTGCTCAGCACTTCTTGCTGCTGCCAGGTGAAGAAGGACATGTTTGTGTCCTCTTCTGCCATGATTGTTAAGATTCTGGAGGCCTCCCTGCCATGCTGAACCATGAGCTAATTAAACCTCTTGTCTTTATAAATTACCCAATCTTGGGTATTTCTTCATTGCTGCATGAGAACAGACTAATACAACCCTCTAGTGGAACACTGCTCTTACAGCCTGATTCTGCTATAGATTCTGCTCTTCCTATGGCTTGTTTGGCTTTCTTTGGATGCTTTTTCAATAACCTCCCTCATTACTTAAGGGAACTGTAGCCTTTGTTTCTTGTAACCAGGAGAATCTAACCAACACCTTAGGCATTTTTTATATACCACCCATGTGTCTAGCACTAGAAGACAAAGGACATATCTCTTAACCTTAAGGAGTTATACTCGGGAAACATAAGACATATGCACATTAAGCATTTATAGATAATTAAAGGGTAATACAAATAAAGGCCAAATTGGGTAAAAAAATGAGTACTGAATGAATGCAGAAAACATAGATATGGATGTGGGCTGCAGAAAGCTGCAATAGGGAGAGAAGGGAAATTATATTTTAATAAAAATTGAATACCTACTTTTATAGGAACTTCAGCTTGATATTTATAAATTGTGAGAGAGGAATCATTACTGTTTTCTACCTACGTCCAGTATAGATCTTAGAACCATGGAGAGGCCTCATAATAAGCTTCCATTTCATCTTGGAGCAAAGCACCCAAAATGGTGGCAGAGGCCACCCAGCATAATTTATGCCTTATCAATGATAAAAAGTTAAATGGGGATTGGTGAAGATGGACAAGGTGGAGCTTTAAAAAAAATAGAATAGAGCAGCCCAAACTTGAACCATAGGGTCTTTATTGTCATCTGCAGTAGCCATGTTGAAAGAACATGTACATTTACCATGAGAAGGGAGACTTACTGAGTTGACATTTTCAGCGTGACCCCAGAATGCAATATGGTTTGACTATGATTTGTGTGAATTACAGTAAGAGAGCCTCTCAACTCGGCCTGTGTTTGGAAACAATGGCCCACCCCATGGTTTAGGCAATGCTGTATGCATTCTGAGGGGCGTGGTTCCTTATTTACAGATGAAGAAAAGCCTGAGGATATCTAACATCTTAAGTCTTCTATAACCAGGGTAGAAGGAATTCTAACTTGAAACACTAATTTCAGTTTGCAAAGGGAAATGAGTTCTAAGAGAGGAAGAAACTGTTTCAGGAGACCTTTTGAAATCTGTCCTTTGGCCGGGCACGGTGGCTCACGCCTGTCATGACAGCACTTTGGGAGGCCAAGGCAGGTGGATCACAAGATCAAGAGATCAAGACCATCCTGGTCAACATGGTGAAACCCTGTCTCTACTAAAAATACAAAAAATTAGCTGGGCATGGTGGCATGTGCCTGTAACCCCAGCTACTTGGGAGGCTGAGGCAGGAGAACTGCCTGAACCCAGGAGGCGGAGGTTGTGGTCAGCCAAGATCACGCCATTGCACTGCAGCCTGGGTAACAAGAGCGAAACTCCGTCTCAAAAAAAAAAAAAAGAAAAAGAAATCTGTCCTTCAGATTCACATTGAATATAAGGGAAATAGCCACCAATCCTTTGAGTGTGAAAGAGCCAACGTTAATTTCTTCCTGGATCTAAAACTGCCAAGTGGAAATTTGTATCAGTGACTGCTTGACCCACTTTCCTTTCTTGCTTTGAGGGCACATCCTTACATGAGCCTAATCATTTATTTGCCAAGAGAATAATTAACGTTTTAGAGCCTCTGTGCTAGTTAATAATGTAAGCCAAAAATAAAACTCTTAGCTCTCCACCCATCTGAACAAACCCCTCCTCAGCCAAGGGTATTCAAAAGTTAACTTGAAAAACTAGTTCAGGCCATGATGGGAAGAGGATGTTGGACATGCCTCACAGCTGACCAGCATTAACATCAGCACAACATCAGACTGACAGAACAGACTCTTTAAGTCTAATAAGAAACATTTACAATTGATTTTCTCTGAAGCCTTCTACCTAGAGGCTTTATCTACATCCTAAAACCTTGATCTCTACAACCCCTTATCATAATCCAGACATTCCTTTCTATTGATTCCATGTCTTTAGGTAATAATCAGTTGCCAATCAGAAAATCTTTGAATCTGCCTGTGACCTGGAAGTCCTCTCACCCCCCATCCCTGCTTTCATTTATCCTGCCTTTATAGCAGAGACAATGTACATCTTACATGTATTGATTGATGTCATATGTCCCCCTGAAATGTATAAAACCAAGTTGTAGCGGAACCACTTTGGGCACATGTTCTGAGGATCTCCTGAGGGCTGTGTCATGGGCCACCAATCATTCTTATTTAGCTCAGAATATATCTCTTCAAATAATTTACAGAGTTTGGCTCTTTCACTTACAGTAATTTGGCACCTAACATCAGGCCCCAGAGAAGACTCAGAGCCCTGAAGGAGTTGCCTGAACTTGGAGCCAAGGTACCAGTAGGAGCCCACTGAAAGCTCTCCCCACCTTTGAGCTTTTCCTCCAGTGGAACTGCTAAGTCCTCCTCAGCCCTGGACCTCCCATTTGGTTGATGGTCCTTGATTTATTCTGAGGTTGTTTTTTGTTTTTTGGTTTTTTTCCCTTCTAGAAAGTTATTTAGGGTCCCTGTCTAGTTCAGAGGTGCATTCTAAAGGGTGTTCTCCATTGCTTTTTTCCAAAGATAAGGAGAATGACCCCCTTTTGGGCACCTCATTTGGTTTCTAGTTTGGAGGTGCATTCTAGAGTCTTCTCCATTGCTTTTTCTTACAAAATTAAGCTCAGTTGGCTTGGCTGCACATTTGTATGAGGAACTGAACTGTTATTTTCATAGATAAATGAGACTGAGATCCTCAGCTCTGAAGAAAAAGGGAATTTTGTTTTTCCCAGTTGAAAGGTGCCTCTGTAAAAGTGTCTGGGTGGTTTGATTTCCCAAGACATGCAGTGGCCCTAGAGGGAACCCCCAAGAAAATTAGTTTAGAAAGGTTCTTCCAGGAAACACATATAAGAGCTGATCACTTGTCATTTTGAACCCTCTTGGAAATAGTAGAACGCCAGAGAGAGAAACAGACATCGAAGAGGGCGGAAATCATTCCATGGTGAAACACTGTAGAGTTCTGCTCACAGTCAGCACTCGCTGATCCACCACACACACAAAAAAAGAAGCCTAAATGCTTTTCAAGTTTATATGACATAAGTAAAATCTCGAGTAAATAAGATGGCTTTAAAACTATTGGTAAAGTAATATTAGAAATATCTTAAGAATTTTCAGCATTTTTTTTGTATTTATTTGATCAAGCAGTTTAATACTTATCCCTGCCATATACTACTATAAGATGTCAACATTTGACATGAGGGTTATAAAACTATAAGCCCAACCCAAAACAGAATGATCTTTGCTTGTGTAATTTTTTATAAAGATACTTATATTGTTGGTTTAATGAAAAAAGCTAAATCCTGAGTTATTGGTTACAATACCAGTATAGTTAGCCTTAAGTTTCTTAGTCAGGTTAGCACTTGAAATTCATGGGCTATAAACCTGGTTAACAGGGAAATATTTTAAATAATGAATATCAGTTTTCATAAATAATCTAGGGAAACTATAATAAATAAATTAATCAAATAAATGTAATGGAATAAATGCTTCTAAACAAATGTCATATAATTTCCAATCTAAAGTTGTATTAAATAATATCCACTAAATGTCTGGGTAATTTTCAACTTAAGATTATAGGAAAACATTTCTTTTAAAAACATGCTCTTCTTAAAAGGTAAATAAGTTTTGTCTAGTTCAAATGTTATTTAAAGGATATATGTAAAACAAGGTAAAAGGAACCAGGAAATAAGAGACATAAAGTTACAGATGTAAAGAGGTATTTTTGGTAAGGAAGGTTAAAAGAAAAATGACTGTGTGAAAGAGGATCTTATATGGTAAATTTTTATCTTAACATAACATGACTGGTTGTTTAAGAAAAAGGGATATTTAGGACAAACCAGAAAGTCCCAGCATGTCGTGAATGGTCTATATAAGTTGTAATAAGATTAGCAAAAAAAAAAAAAAAAGGAATTTATATTTTTAAAAGTTATATAATTAAGTTGGCTATAATTAAAAGGAAATTATAATCTTTCTAGGAATTGAACTTTGATATTAAAACTAATGCAAACTAAAGAATGTTAAACAAGCTTTTATTTAAAATATTGACTTTGAAAACAAGAAGTTTTTAATTTTTTAGTTCTATAATCTGTTTCTTTTTGAAATCTTTGGATATCTCAGAAGTGCGACTTCTGCTGTACCCTGATGCTTCAGCTCTTTCTCCCTTTTGAGAAGCCTTGGATGGTAACTCTCTCCTTCAATTTTTGTTGACTCCTGCATTTTTTTGGGGAAAGGGAGAGAATTTTTTAAAACAGCCAGATGAGAAAATAGAGAATTTGCTTTTGCCTATATGTCTGTTATGTCTATATGTTTGTATATGTCATGTGGAAGTAATATTTCACTACCCAAATTATATAAAAGAGCTCTAATCAACTGACTTAAAGAAATCTAAGTGCTTATCAGACTGATGGAAGCTAGCTCAGATGCCTTTTAGTTCACATGACTTTAGTAACATTAATTTGGTAAATTTAATCTTAAAATTGTCTTCAGTAATTTAAAATTTTAAAGCCATGTTATGTTAAAGTAAGTAATCCTTATTTTTTCACTGGGAATTTGGGTTACTAAGAGTTAAAATAATGGGAGAGCAAAATGCTTTACTCTTCACCAAAATATTTTTTGGGGAAGTTTTAAAAAACACAAGGATGTGGTTTTGGCTAAAGAAATGTAATTTTTTTTTTTTCCAATTTCAAGACTATTTAGGGCACACTTTAAAATAAAGAAGAAGTATATAAATTAAGTGGATAGAGAGAAAAATAAAAGGATGGGTAATGAAAAACCTTTGACTCCTAGGTGGTGTATAGTCACCCACAGTATGGAGCTGCAGCTGGCTACATTTAGTTACTAAACATAAAAGTTACCAGTGGAATTTAGAGATGGATAGTACTCAGACTCCCAGGAAGTTAGTTCACTGAATGCATAAAGAAATGCAAACTAATAAGAATAAAAACAACATATCCAATCCCTTGCTATCTGGTTATTGCTATCTGTAATAGTTAAAATGAAATTAAAGGGCCAGATGCAGTAATCCCTGTAATTACTCACACCTGTAATCCCAACACACTGGGAAGCCAAGGTGGGCAGATCACCTGAGGTCAGGATTTCAAGACCAGCCTAAGCCGGGTGCGGTGGCTCACGCCTGTAATATTAGCACTTTGGGAGGCCGAGGTGGGTGGATCACCTGAGGTCAAGAGTTCAAGACCAGCCTGGCCATCATGGTGAAACCCCATCTTTTATTTAAAAAAAGAAAAAAAAAAGACCAGCCTGGCCAACATGGTGAAACCCTGTCTCTACTAAAGATACAAAAATTAGCCAGGCATGGTGGTGGGTGCCTATAATCTCAGCTACTTGGGAGGCTGAAACAGGAGAATTACCTGAACCAGGGAGGTGGAGGTTGCAGTGAGCCAAGATCGCGCCATTGCTCTCCAGCCTGGGCAACAAGAGTGAGACTCTGTCTCAAAAAAAAAGAAAGAGAGAGAGAAAAAGAAATTAAAGGAGAATTCTGGATTTAACCTTGCTACTAGAACAAGGTCTGATTTAAGTCAGTCTGAACTTATGCCACCAGCCTCAAAGCTGTTCCCCAAGGGCAAAGTTATGCAGGGACAACAGAAAGTGCCTCTAAGACTTGTGGTTACCAAGAAGATAGTCAATGTGAGATAAAGGCAAAACCAAGTAACTATTAAAACCAGAGCATATAACATAAAAGAATTTTTCCGTTTTGTAAATTGGTATCATCAGCTTCCTGAAAAACCTTGTAAGAGCAACCAATTTAAGGACAGTATCTTTAATTTTAAATGCCACATTATGAAAGAGCAAGTTTGGGTTGACGCAGGACCCACAGCCCACTATTAAACACTCACTGATGAGTACATGTGACTCAGTTGCATAGAAGATTATTCCTGAGGGAACACCCAGCCTGATGAACCAGATAAAAGCCACTGTAAGGTCTGTTTACCCTGATAAGGGGACTGCCCAACTCTCCTTTTTAAATGCCAAGTGGAACACCCCAGATGAAACAGCTGATATGCTTCATATGCAAACCATGTGAGACAGGCTTTATGATGACCAGGATATCTCTCACTTAATATGCCTATTACCCACGTCATGGTAAATGCTGTGGTTAAGAGAATCCCTTCTACATGGACACTCCAAATGACATTACTCCTGCAGAATCAAACAACTGTTTGAGAAGCCTTATCAAATTTGCTATCACTCATGGGTCTTGCAGATGCTTATAAAACATTAGGACATGTAACCAAAAATAAATGGGGAAGGCAAAAGGAAGTCAAAGGACTCATCCCAGAAGGGTGGAAACCTTTAGATGGTTATTAAGAAATGAAATAAAATGAAAATCAATGGGGTTAAAACAAAGTTCTTTACAACACTGTCAAAAGTTGGGTGGACCAAAAGGAGCCCCTGTTGGTCCCTCAACATTAAAGGGCCCCATACAAGTTTCTGCATTTGCCCCAGATTGGAGAAATTTAGGGAAAATTAAAAGGCAAAGGTTATAATGAGAAAGCTGACATTGCCTGGGGCAATGTTGAGGCAAATTAAGATAAAGATTGATAGAAGAGGCTGAATCCCTTGGCTCAACTCCCTGTTGGGAACCCAAATCCTTTTTCACCAGAAAAGGTAAAATGATCTGGGGGTAAAGAAGTTCCTGGGACCAGAACATAAAAATGTAAAAGTTGACAGGATCGTGAAATTTGAGATGTTTAAACAACTACCTTATGTAAGGTAGTTGTGAGTCCTTTACCTGAATGTCTTATGAAAATGGGTATTCTGTCTGACTGGGGGATGTTTCCCTATCTAGTACTGTAAAATTGAAGGCATGTAAATCTGTCTTTTGAGAAATGTCAACTGGACATGCTAAATGAGAACTAGTAAGGTTCCCTGAGCACAGAATATAGGGTAGAAGCTGGAGTGCTGGTCAAGGCAAATCTTCCCTGGATAGCTCTTTGTGGTGTGTTTATTGAGGCTTATGGCAAAAGCCGATACACATTTTCCAATGACAACTACTGGAACTTTGGACTGGAGAATTCCCACTTGAGGGGTATGTGCTGCCTTGCTATGGGATGTTAACTGAAACTATCCCTATGCTAATGGAAATAATGGTGCCCAAAAGAGTTCCGTGATACAATGAAAATGAAAATGATTTATATAGGCTCTTGCTACCAGGGGATGCATGGAAGAAATACTTAGGAACAGGGAGTTCCTAGATTCTGCGGTGCTTGATAAACATCTCTCATTTGACGAGAGCTGCTTGGGTTGTGAATGGCATTTCCAAGATTAACAAATGCATTCTTGTTTGGAAGACTGCTGCTCCGGTTAGATAAGAGTCAAGGATGTTTTGAGTTACTTATAGCTTAGAACAATTGAGTAAAGTGTGTTTTGGGGAGCAAATTTTCCTTTTTGAGTTCTCCAAAATTCAAAAATTGTTCATGAGTATTCTGACTTTGTGACAATATAGTTATTTGCATAAATTTAGAAAAAAGCCTTCTCTTTTAAAACAGGACAATTGGAGAAACTGGTTGTTTTACCAAGGCTTTTACTAGAATAACACATTTTTAGGTAAAGTTCCAGAAAGCCAACTTGAAAAGAGCTTCTATGACCAATCAATTCTTGCTGGACTTTATGTGAATAATCAGGCTGAATATAATAAGCCTGAAACTTACTTTGCACACAAATTGATCTTACTATAGTTTCTCTTTAGTAGAAAAGGAGAGCTAGAGAAAGAAAGAAATTCTTTCAAAGGAAAACTATAACACCTTTTACTAGATTACATGATTTTTGTTTTTGAGTGCAGATGGACTCATGAATTATTTCTGGGCTGCAAAAATTCTCTAAAGAGTACCAGGTTATAATTTTCTTCATGTTTTTAGTTGGTACCCTAATAGAATATGTTCCTTTTTCTATTCTGACACACACATTCTTTTTTGATTGTCAAGTTATTAATCTTATCTCTTGTAGTTTTACTTCTGGGAAAAAAGAAATCATGATATTCTGAAAACTAGAAATGACTTGACAAATTCGGTGAATCTCCCTCATCTGGAATCCCTCTGGGCCCAATCTGTTTTTCACTGCAAATACCCTGCTACTAAAAATATACAAGCACCATTCTTCTAGGCCCAGGGACTATTGTGGAAGAGGTGGGCACATGAGATTGTAAGCGCTGGTTTTGAGGGACAGCATTATTTCAGATTCTCCCAATCAAAGAAAAATACACAGATACCTAAGTAGTTGGTAAAATAAGAGACATTACCTCCTGGGTTATTACGTATGTGACCCCTTTTAATCCCAGCCATAAAGAATTTCCTGCTCCCCATAGAATTAAAATAAAATTACTGAGGGAATATAAAAATACCTCATGACAAAGCCTCCTCAGTGTAATACTCCCAATTATGAGATTTATGCCAATGGATACATATTTTTAAAAAAACTTTTATCAGCCACCTTAGGACTAATTACTAAAAGGCCACAAAAAGCATGGTGGTACAACAAAAGACTCTAAATTTCTTAGTTTAAAAGATTTTAACAATGATTATATTTTGTATAGTTCATTGCAATTCATCTGTAACTAAACCCAAGATCACAATAGCGCAACATATAGAGATTAAAGGTCTATAGATAAGTCAGTTTTGCAACTTCACCTTTGGCTTTTCATTTGTTGGCTTTTATATAACTTCAAAAATTGTAAGGGTTAGTGAATGCCTGTTCACATTCATTCCCATCTGGTCTAGAACATTTAAATTGGCTGTAAGTCTTTTGGTGCTAAGCCCCACGGCCATAGTCATCCTACCAAGGGACAGGATGGACCCAGGGCAGCCAGCCATGCCACCTCAGCAATGTTATGGGACAGAATAAAAGTTTGGTGGCCACTGATGTTGCCTCTGGAAAATCTTAGCTAAAAGAAGTAGAATGTAAACCAAAAATAAAATTCTAAGCCCCCTAATCATATGAACAGACCCCTGCTCTTGGCCAAGGCCATTCCAAAGTTAACCTGAAAAATTACTTCAGGCCATGGTGGGAAATAGATGTTGGACATGCCTCACAGCTGACCAGCATTAACATCAACATAGAGACCTTAAGATTGATAGAACTGACTCTAAGTCTGATAAGGAATATTTACAGGCCAGTCATGGTGGCTCATGTCTGTAATCCCAGCACTTTGGGAGGCTGAGGTGGGCAGATCACAAGGTCAAAGTTTGAGACCAGCCTGGCCAACATGGTGAAACCCCATCTCTACTAAAAATACAAAAAATAGCCGGGTGGTGGCAGGTACCTGTACCTCCAGCTATGCAGGAGGCTAAAGTAGAAGAATCACTTGAACCTGGAAGGAGGTTGCAGCAAGCCAAGATCGTGCCACTGCACTCCACCTTGGTCAACAGAGTGAGACTCTGTCTCAAAAAAAATAAATAAATAAGAAAGAAACATTTATAATCTATTCTCTCTGAAGCCTGCTACCTAGAAGGCTTCATCTACATGCTAAAACCTTGGTCTCCACAACCCCTTATTATAACCCAGAAATTCCTTTCTATTGATTCCAGGTCTTTAGATAATAATCAATTGCCAGTCAGAAAATCTTTGAATCTGCCTATGATCTGGAAGTCCTCTCACCCCCAATCCCCCACTTCCACTGGTCCCGCATTTGTGGATAAACCAATGTACATGTATTGATTGATGTCTTATCTCTCCTTGAAATATATAAAACCAAATTGTAGCCCAGCCACCTTGGGCACATGTTCTCAAGATCTCCTGAGGGCTGTATCATGGACCACTGGTCACTCATATTTGGCTCAGAATAAATCTCTTCAAATATTTTACAGAGTATGACTCTTTTAGTTGACAATAGTCCCAAAGTATACCACTAATCCTATTACTGGTTGCTTCTGAGAAGGGCAGATTATAGGAGTGACAAAATTTGAACAAGACTGTATCTGTCCTTATCTTTATGCTTATGAGAGATGTCACCTCCAACTCCTTTGGCTTAGTTGGTCTCTGGTGGGTTGTCTCAACCATACCCCTTTTCCTTCTCTCAAGATTTCTGAAGGCTTGAGTAGATGAGACCTGAGTTTCAAGGTGATATGACTGGACAATATGATGTGGTGACTCATAGTCCAGGTAGTGTAACCAAATAGCTTTTAATCAGGACTCTGCTACTTTGGTCAAGTACCTTAATTTGGGCCTTTTCCCCCAAAAAAATATAGACGAATAGTCCCCATCTCCTGAAATTGTGTTTATTGAGTAACATAATATCCTGTTCATTCATAGAGTAAGTACTCAATGCATGGTAACTGGTAACTGATAACTGTTTGTATTGTAATAGACAATTGAAGGTACATCTTCTCCCTTTAGGCTTTTGAGCCTAGAATTTGATTGGATTGGCTGGGGCTGTTACAGCCTCATGGGGGTGGAGGAACATGGATGTCTTTGGTCAAATTGTTGATCATTGTAGCAGAATCTAAATTTGGCACACTATATCCAATGTATAAAACATACAGCACTCATTAGTTTCTATAACTTGTCTTGATGCTCCCATTCCTGCTGGTGGCAGGGAAAAATAATAAATTTTCCAATTATGAAGCATAACTCATTAACCTGCCATTATAATAAGTTTGTTTTGTTTTGTTTTTTTGAGACCGAGTCTTACTCTGTTTCCCAGGCTGGAACACAGTGCAATCTCAGCTCACTGCAACCTCTGCCTCCTGGGCTCAAGTGATTCTTCTGCCTTAGCCTCCTAAGTAGCTGGGATTATAGGCACCCACCACCATGCTCAGCTAATTTTTGTGGTTTTAGTACAGACAGGGTTTCACCCTCTTGGCCAGAATGGTGTCAAACTCCTGACCTCATGCAATCTGCCTGCCTCGGCCTCCCAGAGTGCTGGGATTACAGGTGTAAGCCACTGCACCCGGCCATAAAGAGTCTTTTTAGGGTCAACTTAGCGTCTTCATAAATATTCTTATTACTTGTCAAACTTTCAATTAATTCATTTACTTATTTAAGTCAATATCAACTCACAGATTTCTGTTTCATTCAGTGGGTTATAATTCATTACTGTCATTATTTTGACGTTCAAGTGGCCCTAGATTTGGTTAGTGAGAGTCCCATTCAGGTTGGCTTTTGTGTCCTTTAGCCATATCCCGATCATTCTGAGCAGTTTCTGACTTTCTGACACCAGATGTTCCAGTTTTGTTTTGTGTTTTCCCTGACCCAGCCTTGAATCATCCATTTCATGAAGGAAAGTCCTGATTTTAAAAAGTCCTTTTAGCAGAGAATGGTCTCTAGAAACCAAGGTTGGATGCTGAGTAGGCTCGTTGCTATAAATTAAACACACACACACACACACACACACACACACACAGACACACACCTCTATTTCTACATGTCTATATGTTGACAACCACAAGTTCACACCAGAATCTCTAATTTCTTTTCTTTTCTTTTTTTTTTTTTGAGACGGAGTTTTGCTCTTGTTACCCAGGCTGGAGTGCAATGGCGTGATCTCAGGTCACCGCAACCTCCGCCTCCTGGGTTCAGGCAATTCTCCTGCCTCAGCCTCCTGAGTAGCTGGGATTACAGGCACGCGTCACCATACCCAGCTCATTTTTTGTATTTTTAGTAGAGACGGGGTTTCACCATGTTGACCAGGATGGTCTCGATCTCTCAACCTTGTGATCCACCCGCCTCGGCCTCCCAAAGTGCTGGGATTACAGGTGTGAGCCACCGTGCCCGGCCAGAATCTCTAATTTCAAATTGATACCGCAGGGTTCATTTTGTTTTCTCCCTTTCCATATTTGTATGCCCCTTCTCTGACCGGCACCTGGTTCCCATTAACTTTAAAGTATTTACTTATTTGATTAATCCCACTCTATGTAATCAATCTCTCATCACTACTACAGCTCCTTCTTCCACACAGGTACCCTCCTTGGGCTTTGGCACCACAGGAGGAGGCCACTCTCCTGCACTGACTTCCTCTTCTTTCCATTTGGGCTCTGAAATTCCATACCACCCTTGCTCCACATGGACATCCTCCTCCAACTCTGTCTTTCTACCCTGCTGTTCTACCCTTGCCAGTTCTTTTTAATGGACTTGGATTGAATTGCCCACAAAGAGAAGGAAAGGGGAAACAATAGGGAGAAGGGGAAGAGGAAGAAGAGGAAACGCATTTTTTTCAGCTATAAGAATACATTAAAATTTTTTTAAAGTATAACACATAAAAAAGCAAACAAATCTACCTTTAAAAATATCAAATATTGCCGGGCACGGTGGCTCACACTTGTAATCTTAGCACTTTGGGAGGTCAAGGCAAGCAGATACCTGAGGTCAGAAGTTCAAGGGCAGCCTGGCCAATGTGGTGAAACCCCATCTCTACTAAAAATACAAAAATTAGCTGGGCGTGGTGGCGCCTGGCTGAGGCACGAAAATCACTTGAACCCAGGAGGCAGAGGTTGCAGTGAGCCAAGATCATGCCACTACTTCCAGCCTGGGTGGCAAAGTGAGACAATGTCTCAAAAAAAAAAGTATTGGCTTGGCACAGTAGCTTATGCCTATAATCCCAGCACTTTGGGAGGCTAAGGTGGGAGGATTGCTTAAGGCCAGGAGTTTCAGACCAGCTCTGATGGTCTCTTTTTGTAGAGACCATCTCTACAAAAAATTCTAAAAATTAGCCAGGCATGGTAGCATGTACCTGTAGTTCCAGCCACTCAGGGTGCTGAGACTGGCTAATCACTTGAGCCCAGAAGTTCAAGGATACAGTGAGCTATGATTGCACCACTGTACTCCAGCCTGGGCAACAGAGTGAGAACTTGTCTCAAAAAAGATCAAGTATCAAATACATATTCTATTCACAATTACAATTACTTATTAAAGCAACATTTATCTTTGTTTACAAATACAATAGCAGGTGAGAAAACCTAACAACATCTCAGATTGCTTACTGTTTATAATGCAAACAAAATATGTGTCTCAAGTCATGTTTTTAGCAGATTAACAAAATGAATAGACAATTACATACATTAAATTTGTCGTTAAAATGTTAATTAAAATAACAATTTCAAGTATTTTTCACCGAAACTTTTTTTTTTCCTTTTTTTTTTTTAATGGCGTCCCATCTGTCACTCAGGCTGGAGTGCAGTGATGCAATCTCAGCTCACTGCAACCTCTGCCTCCCAGGTTCAAGTGATTCCTATGCCTCAGCCTTCTGAGTAGCTGGGACTACAGGTGTGTGCCACCACACCTGGCTAATTTTTATATTTTTAGTAGAGATGGAGTTTCGCCGTGTTGGCCAAGCTGGTCTCAAACTTCTGACTTCAGGTGATCCACCTGCCTTGGCTTCTCAAAGTGTTAGGATTACAGGCATAAGCCACCACACCTAGCCTCACTGAAACAATTTAAGTGTACACAAAGTAAAGAGATGTTTTCCTCTTTTTTGATAGATGAAGGCACTATCACTGCTTATCACTGAAGAGCACTTACAAATTTGTAAGTAAACTTGACTGTTACATTAGATAATACATCTAAAGGCAGAGTAGGCAACTTATTCCAATGTAGGACAACCGTGATGTACATGTGTATTAACCTGGATTTTTATTTTAATGTTAGTTTCCATAAATAATAGGTTTCAGAGCTGTGTGACCCATTTAGCTAAAAATAAGATAAATCAGGTGGAACTTAAAAAAAGGAAAAGCTTTGCTAATCAATACTCAAGAATTAAAATGAGAGGGAGGATGAAAGGGGGGTAAGGAATGAAAATTTACCTACTGGGTACAACATACAGTTTCTGGTGACTGGTATATTAAAAGTTTAGATTTCACCACTATACAGTTCATCCATGTAACCAAAAACTACTGGTACCCCTAAAGCTACTGAAATTTAAAAATATATATAAAATAATTAAAATAAACACTGGCTAATGATCTAAACACCAGACAGTTTTTACTGACAGTTTTTAAATGTATACTCTAAAATATGACCTCAAGAGGACCATGTTTATTAATCCTATAAATAGAGAAATCATTTGTTTAAATTATGGCAACATGATTGTTTTCAAAAGTATGTTTATATAGGGAAATGGTGATTATAGAAAAATAAATAATTTGCCAATAAAGTTGCAGATTCTAATCTATATCATCTTAGATTTCTAAGTATGTGGTTTCATAAATTATATCAAATAACTAGTCAATATAATTAAAATATTCACCATAACTTTCCATAAAAGGCAAACAAAAATCATATTTGCATTTTTATCTGAATGTTCTAAATATGATATCCAAGTTCAAGAGGCACATACCTACTCTGAGAGATGGAAGAATTGTTTCATAAATGCCTTCTAAGAATACTGAAACCAGCATTTTAGTATTTGCATTCATGGGTACACACACACACACACACACACACACACACACAAACACACATACACAATACACAGGCATACCTTTAAGATATTGCAGGTTCAGTTCCAGATCACTACAATAAAGCAAGTATAATAAAGCAAGTCACATAATCTTTTTTGGTTTTCCAGTCCATATAGAGACAAGGTGTCACTCTGTTGGCCTGGGTGGTCTCAAATGCCTGACCTCAGGTGATCTGCTCACCTTGGCCTCCCAAAGTGCTGGGATTACAGGCGTGAGCCACTGTACCTGGCCATAAGGAGTCCTTTTAGGGTCAACTTAGCCTCTTCATAAATATTCCATTAGTCATTAAACTTTCAATTAATTCATTTATGTTTTATGTTTATACACTGTACTATATAGTCTGTTGTGTGCAATAGCATTATGTCTAGAAACACAATGTACGTACCTCAGTTTAAAAACACTTTACTGCCAAAAAATGCTAACAATCATCTGAGGCTTCAACAATGTTTTTGCTGGTGGAGTGTCAGGCCTCCATGTTAATGGCTACTGACCGATCAGCGTGGTGGTTGATGAATGTTGGGTGGCTATGGCAATTTCTTTTCTTTTTTTTTTTTGAGACAGAGTGTCTCTCTGTTGCCCAGGCTTGAGCGCAGTGGCACATTCATGACTCACTGTAGCCACAACCTCTCAGGCTCAAGCAATCCTCCCACCTCAGCTTCCCTGAGTAGCTGGGACTACAAACGAGATTATATTAAACTTGCTGGATGCAAGAAAATAAGAGGACAAAACTAGAGATATAAAACTTGGAAAGGAGGAAGTACAAGTCATACCATTTGCAAATATGAATACTTATAACCCCAGGAAACCAAAGAAAATCAGCTGAAGAGCTACCATAAACAAGAAGAGAATCCGGTAAGACTGCAAACAGTAATAGCCTTCACATACACAAGCAACAGCTAGTATTAATAGAAAGTATCATGGAAAATATCCCATTTATCATAGTATAAATAATGGATGAACAAATGAATGAACAGGGAATACATAACAGGGAATGTTCCTATATGAAGAAACTATACTAAACATATTTGAAAGCTGTAAGAAAAATAGGCATACAATGAATTTGTATAGGAAGACTCAATGTTATAAAGGTATCATTTCTCCTTACATTAATATATAAAATTGTCACAATCTCAATAAAAGTACCATCAGATTCTTTTTGCTGGAACTAAACAGGTTGATAATAAAGTTTATATGAAAAACCAAATAAGAACAACTAGGAAAATCCAGAAAAGAAGAGCAGTAAGGAGTCTGATCTTACCAGATATTAGAACAAATATTATAAATCATATATAAGTAAACTAGTAGGGCAATGGTACATTAATGGACAGATCAACCAGTGGAACAGAACAGAAAATCCAGAAAAGGAGGCAATTGCATATGAAAATCTAGTATATGATAAAGATGACGTCTCAAAACAGTGGGAGAAAAAATAGACTATGGTTTTTTAATTTTTAATTTTTTGAGGAAACAGTAACTGGGTTACTGAGTAGCTGGGACTACAGGCACGCACCACCATGCCCAGCTAATTCTTGTATATTTAGTAGAGATTGGGTTTCACCGTGTTAGCCAGTCTGCTCTCAAACTCCTGACCTCAAGTGATCCACCCACCTTGGGCTCCCAAAGTACTAGGATTACAGGTATGAGCCACCATGCACGGCCCCCCAAAAAAAGTTTTTTTAATTAACTGGGCTTGGGGGTGCATGCCTGTAGTCCCAGCTACTTAGGGAGGCTGAGGTGGGAGGATTACTTGAGCCCAGGAGATCAAGACTGCAGCAGTGAGCAGTGATCACACCACTGCACTCCAGCCTATGGGATAGAGTGAGACCCTGTCTCAAAAAAAAAAAAAAAGAGAAAAGGAAAAGCCTAGTGAAATCCAAATAAAGTGCACAGCTTAGTAGCAGGTATCAACATTGATTCCTTGGTTTTCACAAATGTACCACCTCAATATAAAATTTTAACAATAGGGTAACCTGAGTGAGGGGTATACAAAAATGTTCTGTACTATCTTTGCAACTTTTATGTAAATTAAAAAAAATTTTAATTAAAAATTTCTTGGGGAAAAATGATGCAAATACTAGAAGAAAACAAAGGTGAATTTCTCTATTGGGAGTGGGAGGACATTTATTAACTATTCCTCAAAACCTAAAAGTGGTCATGTGTGGTAGCTCATACCTGTAATTTTAGCACTTTGGGAGGCTGAGGCAGGAGCATTGCTTGAGCTCAGGAGTTCGAGACCATGGTAAAATCTTGTCTCTATGAAAAACACAAAAATTATCCAGGTGTGATGTGGGCCTGTAGTGCCAGCTACTAGGAGGCTGAGGTGGGAGGATCACTTGAGGCCAGGAGGTTGAGGCTGCAGTGAGCTGAGATTGTGCCACTGCAGTCCAGCGTGTGCAACAGAGTGAGATCATGTCTCAAAACAAACAAACAAAAACCTAGAAGCAATAAGGGAAAAGATGAATAAATCTGATAAGACAAAAAGGCATGTATTTGTTTGCTAGGTTTACCATAACAATCACAGACTGGGTGGCTCTTAAACCGGAGGTTCCCAACCCCAAGGCCATAGACTGGGTCGTATGGTGGTACCATTTCAGGATACCAGTCTATGGCCTGTTAGGACTGGGGACACACAGCAGGAGGTGGGCACAAGTGAGGATTACCGCCTGAGTTCTGCCTCCTGTCAGACCAACAGCAGCATTAGTTTCCCATAGGAGTGCGAACGCTTTTGTGAACTGCACATGCGAAGCATCTAGGTTGCATGCTCCTTATGAGAATCTAATGACTAATGAACTGGAGTTTCATCCTGAAATCATCTCCCACGCAAGTCCATGGAAAAATTGTCCTTCAAACCAGTCCCTGATGCCAAAAAGGTTGGGGACTGCTTACTTAAATAACAGAAATTCATTTTCTCGTGATTTTGGAGGCTACAATTTTGAAATCAAAGTGTTATCAGGGTTGGTTTCTTCTGATGTCTTTCTCGTTGGTTTGTTGATGGCTGCCTTCTCTTTGTCTTCTCATGGTCTTTCTCCTGTGTCTGTGTCCTACTCTCCTCTTATAAGAGGACATAAGGGCTGGGTCCAGTGGCTCACGCCTGTAATCCCAGCACTTTGGGAGGCCGAGGCAGGCAAATCACATGAGGTCAGGAGTTTGAAACCAGCCTGGTCAACATGGTGAAACCCTATCTCTACTAAAAATACAAAAATTAGCTGGGCATGGTGGCACATGCCTGTAATCCCAGCTACTCAGGAGGCTGAGGCAGGAGAATTGCTTGAACCCGGGAGGCGAAGGTTGCAGTGAGCCACATTCACACCACTGCACTACAACCTGGGTGACAGAGTGAGACTCCACCTCAAAAAAAAAAAAAAAAAAAAAGGATTAGAGCCTACCAATAAGACCTCATTTTACATGCAAGGATATGGTGGCTCACACCTGTAAGCCCAATACTTTGGGAGGCTGAGGTGGGTGGATCATTTGAGGTCAGGAGTTGGAGACCAGCCTGGCCAACATGATGAAATGCTATCACTACTAAAAAAAAAAAAATTTACCAAGTGTGGTGGCTCATGCCTGTAGTCCCTGCTACTCAGGAGGCTGAGGCAGGAGAACCACTTGAACCCAGAAGATGGTGCTGTGAGCTGAGATCATACCACTGCACTCTAGCCTGGGTGACAGAGCAAGAGTCATCTCAAAAAAAAAATTCTCTTTCTAAAAATGGAAAAGAGAAAGACCAAGAATTATATTTTTAAATGATCAGATATTTCACACAAAAAAGAAATGCAAAGACATTGGAAAATATACTTAACTTGGCCCATCATAAATTCTCACTTTCCACCTATCAGATTGGCAAAACTCCAAGTTGACAAATATACTTTGTTACCAGGCTTGAGTTAACGGGCATTTTTACACATCTCTGATAGGAATACAAAAATAGTACAAGCCTCGTGGAGAAGAACTTAGCACTATATAGCAAAATGACATGTGGAAATGTCTTTGAGCCAGAAACCTAACTTCCAGGAAGACATCCTGAGGATTCACTGGCAAAAATATGAAAAAAGTATACAAACAAAGTTGGTCATTGCAGCACTATTTGTAATAGCAAAAGACTGGAAACAGTCCAAATATTCAGTAGGAGACTAGTTTAATAAACTGTAGTGCTTCCACACAATGGAATCATAGGCATCATGTAAAGGAATGAAGAACATCTCTGTATACTACCATGGAGTGATTTCTAGAATATACTGTTAAGTGGAAAAGCAAGGTACAGAAAAGTATACACTTTAATGTTACCATTTGAGAGAGGAAGGAGATGAAAAATTTATCAAAATTGGTAAGAGTCCTGTCAAAGGACTCAGGAGCCAGATCAAAGGGTCTTCCACCAGCCCAAAAAAGAGACAATTTGAATATCATTAAAAATGACCACTACAATGAAGTAAAACACTCAAATATCATTAAATTCATGAGTTTGCAGTGTTATTCAAATCCAAAAACTCAGTGATTTTTGCAGAATCAATTATTTTTTCTGAAAATTAGTAATTGATATAGTTTGGCTGTGTCCCCACCCAAATCTCATCTTTAAATGTAGCTCCTATAATCCCCATGTATTATGGGAGGGACCCGGTGAGAGGTAATTGAATCATAGGGTGGGTTTTTCCCATGCTGTTCTTATGATAGAGAAGTCTCACAAAATCTGATGGTTTTATAAAGGGCAGTTCCCCTGCACACACTCTCTTGCCTGCCACCATGTAAGATGTGCTTTTGCTCCTCCACCTTCCACCATGATAATGAGGCCTCCGCAACCATGTGGAACTATGAGTCCATTAAACCTCTTTTTCTTTATAAATTACCCAGTCTTGGGTATGTCTTTATTAGCAGCATGAGAACAGACTAATATAGTAAATAAAGAGAAAGAATCAAGCATTTGACCTGCCTTTCTTTTATGAACTATAGCTGAGGACAATCAAATAGTTGATGAAAGAAAAACTTCTCTTTATAGAAGTATCCTGGCTAACAAAAGAAGGATTGATAAAATTAGAATATCACCATTCTACAAATCATTAATGAAATGATAGGTGTACCAACCATGGATGATCATCAGTGGCCACTAATGTCATAGCAAAAGACAAGCAAGTATTCTTAATAAATGCCTCCCAATGGAAGTACACACCTCTCCCTATGAAAGAGAATTTCAAATTGGTCTGCTCAAACCTCCAGATCTTATCAGAAATTGTAAGACTACACACAGAGAGAAACATGTTAAACAACTGCACAAGGAGGCAGTCAACAAATCCACACTGTGAAAGTTCTATGGGAAAAATGACCCATTTAGTCAACAAATAAACTTCAAGAAAAACAAAGAAATGAAGTGGGAATCTATAGATTAAAAAAAATTTCAAAAATTTTCTCCATTACCTATGTAACAAATCTTCACATCTTACACATGTACCCTGGAACTTAAAATAAAATAAAAAAATAAAAAAGAGAGATTTAAGAGTCAACCAAGTGAATTTATGGACTTCATTTGCATCCGATTTTGAACAAATCACTGTTAAAAAATTTTTAAGACACTAAAGGAAATTTGAACATTCGCTGGATATTTAATGATACTAAGGAATTATTTTTTAGTGTGACAGTGATACTGTGGCTAAGTTTTAAAGAATCCTTAAATTTAGTACCCACTGTAATGTTAATGAATTAAATAATATTATGTCTGGGATTTGCCTAAAATAATCTATGGATGGGGGAGAGAGATGATACAAGACTGGCTGTTAGTTGATAATCATTAAAAGTCTGGGTTTGGAAGCAACCAAAGTGTCTATCAGTAGATGAATGGTTAAAGAAGATATGGTACATATACACAATGGAGTACAATTCTGCCATAAAAAAATGAGATCTTGTCATTTGCAACAACATGGATGGAACTGGAGGTCATTATGTTAAGTGAAATGAGCTAGACACAGAAAGACAAACATTTCATGTTCTCGCTTATTTGTGGGATGTAAAAATCAAAACAGTTGACCTCATGGAGATAGCGAGTAGAAGGATGGTTATCAGAGTGTGGGAAGGGTAGTGGGGGGCTGGGGTGAGGGAGGTGGGGATGGTTGATGGGTACAGAAAGCAAATAGAATGAATAATACCTATTATTTGATACCACAATAAGGAGACTATAGTCAATAATAATTGTACCTTTTAAAAATATCTAAAAGAGGGACAGCCTGGGGAGAAATGCCAAATGTGGGTGAAGGGGAGGAAGGCAGCAAAACACACTGCCATGTGTGTACCTATGCAACTATCTTGCATGTTCTGCACATGTACCCCAAAACCTAAAATGCAATAAAAAAAGAGTGTAATTGGATTGTTTGTAACACAAAGGATAAAAGCTTGAAGGGATGGATACCCCATTCTCCATGCTGTGATTATTTCACATTGCATGCCTGTACCAAAAAATCTCATGTACCTTATAAATATATACACCACTCTGTACCCACAAAAATTAGAAAATTTTAGCCGGGCGTGGTGACTTATGCCTGTAATCCTAGCACTTTAGGAGGCCGAGGCAGATGGATCACTTGAGGTCAGGAATTTGAGGCCAGCCTAGCCAACATGCTGAAACCCCATCTCTACTAAAAATACAAAGATTAGCTGGGTGTGGTGGCAGGTGCCTGTAATCCCAGTCACTTGGGAGGCTGAGGCAGGAGAATTGCTTGAACCTAGGAGGCAGAGGTGCACCTGCCCTACAGCCTGGGTGACAGAGCAAGACTCAATCTCAAAAAAAAAAAAAAAAAAATTAAAAAGCAAGAGTGAAAAAAAAGCTGGGTAATGTGTACATGAGGGAAGGGGATGGAACTGGGAAAGAAAGCAAAGGAAAAGTATCACAAATCCAAGTTGTTTATAAAAATATTACTGATTTTATTTAGGGATATGCTGAAAGTTTTGAGTTAATAGCATTAGTTGACTATTCTTGGGAAGATTGACTTTGTAGCCCACTATAGGATAGATTAAGTGAGGAGTAACTGGAAGAAGAGAGGCTAATTAGTTCAATTAGTTTGGACTGAGAACCATGGTGCAATTGCTGAGGGGGCCTCTTCCGGCTCAGGAATCGATTCTAGATCTCAGCTGAAAACTGCAGGGGCTAGTTCTCCCCCACAGGAGGTAAGCACCAACACCTGAGGCTAGATACTTAGATTCTCTACTGTTGAACATGAAGGTGCAGTGTTTGGGGTGAGGAGTTTTTCTCTCCGAGGCCAAGAGAGAGAAGGTCCCCAAAGAATCACTGGTAAGTATTAGAGTGCCTACAGTAAGAAGAATAACATCTTGCTTCCACTCTTTCATCTGCTTAGGCAAGGGCTAACTGATCTGTCTCTGTGTCTACCTGAGCACTGGAAAGAGAATGAAGAAGGCAGTTCTTTCTCTCTTTGAAGTAAAGAATTGCTTGGAAAGTTAGTTTTGAGGGTGGAGGAAAGGGGTACCTGCACCATCCAAATCTTTCCAGGCGTCACCTTCTCAGGGAAGTCTTTTGTGTTCCCCCAGTACAAACTAACTTCCCTTCTTACCTCTTCTCCTGGAACTGTTTTTCCTTTAGAACATTTATTTATCTCATCCAGAGTGCCAAGGGACAGAATACAGTCATGGGTTCTTAGTTTTTGCTTCTGGTTGAGCCAGTAAAGCCCCTTCCTCATGCCTCTTTTCTGCTTATCACTAGAGACAGAAACAAAAAAACCAGGTTTCAGGCTGCTAAAAGCCTAAAATGAAACAAAACAGAACAGCAACAACAAAATAAGGCAGGTTGGACAACCTTGTATAATGTCTTTTTCTTTTTTTAAATCCCATCCATTGTATCTCTACCTGGCACAAATTAAGCATTTGTTAAATTTAATCGGATAAGTGAATGAGTGGAGAAATGAATGAATTTTTTAAAAAGGAACTCTAGGGTTTTGACCAACAATTATATTTAAAAGTACAGGCCAGGCGTGGTGGCTCATGCCTGTAATCTCAGCACTTTAAGAGGCCAAGGAGGGCGGATCACGTCAAGAGATCAAGACCATCCTAGCCAACCTGGTGAAACCCCGTCTCTACTAAAAATACAAAAAATTAGCTGGGCATGGTGGTGTGCATCTGTAGTCCCAGCTTCTCGGGAGGCTGAGGGAGGAGGATCACTTGAACCCAGGAGGTAGAGGTTGCAGTGAGCCCAAATCACACCGCTGCACTCTATCCTGGGTGACAGAGCGAGACTCCAGCTCAAAAACAAACAAATATATGCATGACGTAAGCATTAAAAATACCGGATAGATATGCACAGAATGTTAACATTGATTTCATTTTAGTGGTGGGATTTCAGATTATTTTTATTTTTTTATTTAATAAATTTCTACAATTATATTAAGTTCTTTTCAAATCAGAAGCCAGAAAACACTGCAGAATACACTATGCTAAGTGCATCATTGTTAGTCAGAAGGAACCAGGTTCTGTCTCTGGTACTTAGCACCCATATGACCTGGGGCAAGTCATTGCCTCATTGACTATCAGTTTCCTAATCTGTAAAGTGGGGATAATCAACTGGGTGGCTGTGAGGATGAAGCAGGAGAATTCACGTAAGGCTTGGTACTGAATGACTCTGGTCCTTAAATGTCAACTATTATTATTGTCTGTGGGGAAAACGCTTCTTGCATTTGGCACTGTGATGCATTTATACTGTAAATATGTATGTAAATTCATTTGGTCATAGTGAATACTGTTTACTAGTAAATGCTAAACTTCAGTTTTGCTTAGAATTTAAAATAATTGAATGCATCACCAACAGGTGGCAGCATATCACAGTTTCTTTACTACAGTTGAGTCCACCGTGTCCTTGTACAACTTTCCCCGTTAGAACCTGTTTTAAAAGGGAAGAAGATTTACAGTTTTAAAGGGAAGAAACCTTAGGGTTAATCTAATTCAACTCCTTGAGTGTACATATATGGAATCCTGGAGATGCAGTAAAAACAAAGAACACGTCCTGTTTTGCTAGGAAAGGTCAGGGTTGGGGGGAGAGGTGACGAGAAAAATCTGAGTGTACTTCATGCCTGAATTTGCAGTATTTCTGCAAAATCCATTTTAGCTAATCAAGAAAACTTAGAATACATGACAGAAAACATTTTCTAGTTCTCATGTGGAAATATCAATTTAGGGAGTAAAGAGCATATCTCATAGTCATGCACAGTAACTGGTTGATGAGCCTCAATATACGGAGATTTCGCTACCCCACCTCTTTTTTAAAGCACTTTCCAGCTGACAGAGGCATTGCCCCTTGTCATAGCACTGGATCCTCACAATCAGGGGCAAGGGTTATCATTGCTATTGTGCCAACGAGGAAACAAAGAAGAAAATGCCCTCATAAACAGGGGACATGAATTCAAATCCAGATCCTTCCTTCCTTCCTTTTTTCATTCATTGAAAACACACATTTATTAACTTCCTGTTATGTGCCAGTGCTCTGCTAGCTGTTGGAGATGCATGGGCTCACTGGGAATACACCTCCAAAAGGTCACAGTCTCTGTCCTTAAAGGGTTAGGGTATCTGAACTGCATGATGCCAAATTCCTGTCTCTTTCTACTCCCCCCACCATACACACACACATCTGCACAGTGCTCTGCACACATAGTAGGTACCCAACACATATCTCCTATACCGAGCAGCCTGGGCACATCACCAAAGGCCCTTGAGACCACTGACTTGCAATGATGGTACAATGTTTGACTACAGTATTCAAATATTACAATAGTCAAATATTACAGGCTCAGAACAATTTCTTAAATGTCCAAGGTTTGTTTATATAACATATATATATATGTTTGGGGAGTAAAGATA